TTGGCCACACTGTCGGCCTGCGTGCCCTGAACCGTACGGGCCGCTCCGCATCGCGCAATACAACGTTGCCCGTCGGCCACGTTTGACCTTTGTCAGTGTACTGCGATATGACAAACGTCGATTTCACGTATGTTTTCTCTCTAGTCTTGGTTGATACAGCGGAATGTCCGCCAGGTTCCGTCCCATTCGAGTCCAACTCGCCGCCCTCCCCGATGTCAGATGTAGAGGATCGCCAAATCCGGCACTTTGCATAGGTGGATCTAATTAATATTGAGCCCTAGGTTAGGGCTTGCGTGGATAAAGCGACCAAATAAGGAAGTGTTACTAAATTTTGATGTCACACTGAGCCTTGCGTCGACGTCGTGCGCTCAGCGAGCTCCGCGTCCGCGTCCTCTCCGCCGTCGTACTCATCCCCCTCCCCCCCTTCCTCCTCAAAATGCAGTCCCTTTCGCGCCCGGCCTCTACGTCCACCCGTCCCACGGCTTCCCCAAACCCCAAGCCGCAGTACCAAGTAAATACCCAGACAAAAGTCTTCGATACCGCGCAAGGCAGAATCCTCTGCATTGCAGACATCCGTGGCCGCCTTTCTGCACTCAATGACCTCGCAAGGGAAGCGAATGCATCTGCAATCATTCACACAGGCGACTTTGGCTTCTTCGGTGCGTCCGTCGCGTACTCTTGCATGTTCATCGTGCTGATGCTGCGGCAGAGGCCTCCAGTCTCGACAGGATAAATGACCGGACACTGCGCCACCTCACCATGTACTCTCCGCTCATTCCAACCGCGCAGAGAAACCACCTACTTGCTCCGGAGAACCCTCCTTCCGCCATTCGGTCCACTGTCACCATCAACCTTTTGTCCGAGTTCCCTTTGCTTCTTTCCGGCCAAATCAAGCTCCAGGTGCCCGTCTACACCGTCTGGGGCGCGTGTGAGGACGTCATCGTCCTTGAGAAGTTCCGCGCGGGCCAATACGATATCGAGAACCTGCACATACTTGACGAGGCGACTACGCGCTGCCTCGACCTCGGCGGCGTGAAGCTGCGCTTGCTTGGGCTCGGTGGCGCGCTTGTGCCACACAAGATGTTCGATAATGGGGACGGCAGCGCGACAATCGCCGGTGGGCAGGGCACTATGTGGACGACGGCCCTGCAAATCGGTGAGCTCGTCGACACCGCACAAAGGGTCTTCGATCCGACCGAGACGCGTCTGCTCGTCACGCACGCAAGTCCGGGCCGCGAGGGTATAATCAACCAGCTGGGCCTCGTACTCAAAGCGGATCTGAGCGTATCCGCGGGCCTGCACTTCCGCTACGCTTCTTCATACAACGAGTTCAGCGTCCAATCTGACTTCGAAGGGCTACGCCACAAATTGGTCGCCGGCAAGGAGGCATTCGACAAGGTCTGGGAAAGCGTCAAGACGCAAGTCGACGCGGTCATCGATGAGCACCAACGCGTCCTCCTGGATAAGGCTCTCTCTGTTGTCGAGCGGATACCGCCACCGCCCAACCAGCCTGGTCCTGCTGGTCAGCCGTTTGCTGAGGAACCGGCGTGGAAAAACTGCTGGAACTGGAACCTTTGCGACGCTGCTTATGGAGCGCTCGTGCTCGATATCAAGGATGGCCGCGTCAGCGCAGAGCTCAAGAGTCAAGGTAAGTTCATCTTTAATCTCGACTACCGTGTACTAAACAAGTCATCAGGCTTCAACTACGCGTACCGTCGGTCGGTGACGCCGTCGACGGTGGCTGCGACTCCCAGCTCCGCGACCTCAGGCCTGCCCGTACAAGTACAAAGCGGCGTTCCGGGCACTGGTGGGGCGTCTACGCCCAAGAACGCGACGCCCGCCGGGGCCGAGAAGCCTCTGCCGCCACACTTGACTGGTTCCAAGTCGAAACCCGCGACGCCTCCGCCCGTGTCGGCCACGTCGGGCCGTGAGACGCCCAAGCTCAATGGCGCGCAAGATGCACAGGCCGCAGCAGACAAGGCCGAGCGCGAGCGCGCAAAGCGGGAGCGGAAGAAGGAGAGGAAGCGGGAGGCTGCGGCTGCAGCAAAGGAAGGCGGGTCGGGCAGCGGCACTGCGTCGCCCGCGCAGCCGAGGACGGAGGTAGACTTGAGCAGCCCGCCACCGCAGGCTCCCAAGTCTGGCAAGGCTACGCCGGAGGTATCGACGGCGGGACCTCCTGGCATGGACCTAAGGGGCCCGGAGGACGGCGTGACCTCTCCTGCGACGGAGAGCACCGGCGCGCGGACACCGACGAGCAGAAGACCCGCGCGTAACCCGTGGACCATCTTTATGCGCATGCCCAATCCTGCGAACGAGACCGAGGTCAAGGACTTCTTCGGCGATGCGGGTTCGGGGGTGAGTGACCGCGGCTATCGTAAGGGGGATGATTGCTTATTTGCTTATTGCAGATCATTCGCGTCAGCTACCCCCAGAACTTTGCTGGACGCAACTTGAAGATGTGCTACGTCGAGTTCGGCGATGAAGACGCCATGAAATCCGGGTTAGCCAAGCAGGGCGAAGTAAGTTGTGATTGCTGAACAGCGATGCTGTTGCGGGGCGCTAACCAATCATCATCCAGACACTCAACGACTCAATCCCAGAATTGAAGCAGGCGACCGATAAGGAGTCGCGCGCTTCTGAGACCGGACCCCGCGGCTCCTTCAGTGGGCGTGGTGGACGTGGCCGAGGCGGATTTGCTGCCCGCGGGTTCGCATCGGCCGGCCTGACCCGCGGCGGCCCTCCCGGGCGAATGAACGGCGACGCGCCGCCATCCGACGCCCCCCGGCCGTCTGAGGGCTCGTAAGGCCTGAGTGACGGTAGGAGCTGAGGCATGGAAGCTCGAGCTGCAGGTCGCGGAGGGCATGCCGCGCGGGCATGCCGTGTTGGTGCCCGTGCTGTATGGTACTGTACGTTCGTCGCCGTTGTTTGTTCGCTCTGTTCGCTCGCATCGTCCCCGTTAGTACCTATCCTACGTAGTTGTCTGTAGTTGCGCTCGTGTTTGCATATCGGCGGTGTCCTATTTTCCTCGTCTTCCCGTGCATCCCACCGTTGCTCGCAAGCGGCTTGCCCTCCCTTTTCAACTTTGGGTTTGCTGTCCGCCGAGCTTCTTCCTCTTCAAGTGAGGGCCTTCCTCTGCAGCCTCCTATGCCATGTCCTTTCGACTACGCCCTTGCGCCCGTTCAGTATGTGGTGACGGGTGGCCCTCTTGCTCGTTATGACTTCTATGCTACGCTTTCGCAGTGATCTATGGTCATGGTAATGCTAGACCGCGCCTATACTCATGTTTTCTGATTGTGGCATGTCTGCAACGCCGATACCCTTGTTCTTGCTCTCAATACGTATACCTTCAATGTTAGTGTTAGAACGGCTACAAGTTATGGTAGCTGCAAGTCCTGAAGCTTGAAGGCTTACGCAGCCCACCGTAGCCCACCGCTTCACCGATATAGCACTGCGTTCGCCAGGTAAGAATGCAATGCGTCCAAGCCCGCACGCAAGCACATCAGCGAGGCTATGTGCATATATATCGGCGTGAATACCCGCGAGATTACAACAAGGGTCGTATGATCAGGTTCCAGACATATCTGAATACATGGAAGCAAACAAAACCGTCGTAGCGTCTTCGGAGGTCTTTGAGACAGCCCAACTGCTGAGTTGAAACACGACACCTGCATGAAGGAGACAATACTCACCAGTCTCCGCGTTGCCAAGAGCTATGAGCATTTTAACATCCTCGCGCACCGCGCGCAGTCGGCAGCGCCGCCGGCAAGCTACTCTTGCATTCATAGCCGTAGTACGTTAACCTGTCGCGCTTCGCAGTTGCCGAACGCTGTTCATGCCCGTGCCCGTGCCCGCTCCGGCGTACGCACCCCTTCGAACACAGGGATGCCTGGTCCGGGGCGTGCAGTCAGCCCAGTATAAAAGTCAGCCTTCAGAGAAGAGGTCAGCAGCAGCGAACAGTTCCTCACTCGCGTTCACACCCACGTGCACATCCTCCACGACCTTTCTACGTCTTCCTCTTCCTTTTACGCTTCCGCCATGCAGTTCACCACCCTCGCCCTCGCACTCACTGCGCTCGTCTCGAACGCGCTCGCGATCACGGTGTCGTACGACCAGACGTACGACAACGCGGGCCAGGACCTCGGCGTGACCGCGTGCTCGGACGGGCCCAACGGGCTGCAGACGAAGGGCTTCACGACGCTCGGCTCGCTCCCGCACTTCCCGAACGTCGCCGGCGCCGCGGCGGTCGTGTCGTGGAACTCGCCCAACTGCGGCTCGTGCTGGCAGCTGACGTACGAGGGCCGGAGCATTAACGTGCTTGCGGTGGACCATGCGGACGAGGGCTTCAACCTCGCGCTCGCGGCGATGAACACGCTGACAAACGGCCAAGCGGTGTTCTTGGGGAGGATCGATGCGGAGGCGACTCAGGTCGATGCGTCCCAGTGCGGACTCTGAGGTTCGTGTTTGGTTTCCTTTGGGAGTAGAGGTGGTGCTGACGGTCGACTGGGTGATAGGATGCATCGGTGGATAACATCCTGCGTTCGCGTTTTGCTTGCTCATGGACTTGAATACTGTACACGCACGGACTTCGCACTTGGACATTCATCATGGACTTTACGCATGCTCTCGGGCTTACGTACGAACGCCTCGTATACACGCTACGGACATCTTTCACGTTGGGATCTATGATCACATAATTGCTGTCATCGAATGTGAGCTGTGCTACGTCTAGAGGCAACATATGCGACGTACCTGGGACGTTCTAGCCTCAATGGCTTCTTGGGTTTGTGTCTAGTCTGCGCATGGTGTGCAGGCTCTAGGCGCATTAGCTACTTCCTATGAGTGGATGTACCATATATATCAGTCATATACCGCTGCCAGTCGATGATGATGTGCTCAGGCCTGAAAGGTTCAGCAGCAACAACTACGGAGAATAGCAATGATACAATTCTACAATGATACAACATACTTTGCTCTTCACCATGTCCATCCCCCTCTCTGTTCTAACCGCTCCGTGCCTTCTTTGCGGCCTCGTACGCATCCCAACCGATCTCGGAGATTTTATCCACCTTCACGAGCACCTCCTTTTCTAGGGCCTTCAGGTAGTCGTCCATAGCGGCGACGAGGTCTGGCTGGCCCGCAGCCAGTATGCGAACCGCCAGCAGGCCTGCATTCGTACCGTTGTTGATCGCCACAGTAGCGACGGGGATGCCGCGCTAGGATACAAAGTCAGCTGCTAAGCGTCAAATGGTGCGTGCAAGATACGCACAGGCATCTGTACAATACTGTGCAGCGAGTCGACACCATCAAGCGAGCTGCCTTTTACCGGGACACCGATAACAGGGAGCGCGGTCATAGCGGCGACCATCCCTGGGAGATGTGCGGCACCGCCGGCACCAGCGATGACAACCCTCAGTCCTCTCGATGCAGCGGAGCGCGCGTACTCCACAAGTCTGTCGGGTGTGCGATGCGCAGACACGATGGTCAGCTCGTACGGGATCTTGAAGTGGTTCAGGATGTCAGCAGCAGGGAGCATCGTGGGCAGGTCTGAGTCTGAGCCCATTATCACGCCGACGACGGGTTGCTGATGCGAGAACCCGCGCGCGGGGAAGAGCGGCGCGTACAGGTCGAGCTCCTTCGGGTCATGGCCCCCGGGGAGGTGCTCGAGCAGCGGGCGCAGGCGCGCGCTGAGCTGCGCGTCGGAGTCCGCGACGATGGTGATGTGCCCCATCTTGCGGCCTTTGCGGCATTCGGACTTGCCGTAGAGGTGCACGCGTGCGCCGGGGATTGTGAGTGAGAGCTGTGCAAAAGAGCGGATTTCGTCCATAGAGGTGGAGGCGCCGAGGATGTTGAGCATGCACGCGGAGGGGACCTTGAGAGCGGGGGAACCCAGCGGGAGGGAGAGGATAGCGCGGAGGTGGTTCTCGTATTGAGAGGTTTCGCAGGCCTCGATGGTATAATGACCAGAGTTATGTGGCCTTGGCGCGATCTCGTTCAGGTACACAGATCCTGCAGAGATATCAGCCACGGCCCTCATGCGATGTAGCATAACAGGAAACTGACCGTCCGCCATAAGGAACATCTCCACACCGAATACGCCTGCGCCTTCCAGCTTCTTGACGGCGTTTTCTGCGACGGTGCGTGCCCGCTCTGAGATGGAGGGATCGCGGCTGCGCAATGGGGCAAACACTAGGTGGCAGATGTTTTCCTTGTGGATGGTCTCGACCACAGGGTACGAGAGGACCTCTCCGGACCTCGAGCGTACCACCATGACGGCGATCTCTTTGACAAAGGGAACCCACTTCTCGGCATAGAGGGGTCTACCTCCCAGGGCGGTGATGGCTTCCTGGGCCTGGGAGAGCTCGCGGATGACGAAGTTGCCTCTGCCATCGTATGCGAGCGTCCGGCTCTTGAGCATCAGAGGAAGCCCCAGGCGGTCTGCGGCAGCATGCACGGCCTCGACTGTGGACTCCACAGGAAGGAAGTCCGAGATAGGGCAGCCAGACGCATGCAGGTGCTGCTTCTGTACGAACTTGTCCTGGATGGTCTTGATGGTAGACGGGCTAGGGTGAACGCCGAGGGGGACCTGGCTCTCGATCTCTTCCAGCACGCTGACATCAACATGCTCGATCTCCACCGTGAGCACGTCCACCTTGGCCGCAAGTTTGCGAATCTTCGCCGGGTCCGTGAAAGAGCCGTCGATGTGTGTTAGGTGGGGAGCACGCGGGGCAATGACCTGCTTTGAAGGCGTGTGCTCTCCTACATCCAACACAACGACGTCGATATTGAGTAGTGCCGCAGAGGCGGCTAGCATGCGACCCAACTGCCCGCCGCCTGGTGATCAACGTTCAGCGATAAAACGCGACATATATGACTTGGAATCTAGCGCGGGGTCAATGGTCCGTCCTCATCGTGAAAGTTTTGAGAGAGACCTACACCCACCGAGAATTCCGACCACCTTGTCCATCGCTATTGCACCTTCTGCCCGATTTTATTTGGTCGCGATAAAAACCGCGGGGACGCGGAGGCTCTGGGACGAGATGAGGAGATGAGGGCGGAGGACAAGCGGAAGTCCGAGAATTTCGGGAGCACTGGCGCTCAAACTTTTTGCACTTGGACGCCGAGCTATGTATCCTCCTCACCGTTCACGACGTCCCCCGCCCCGTCCTCTTCGCCCTCCCTGACCTATGGCGCCCGCAGGACCTAAAACCACAGCAGCACGGAAACGTACCCGCAAAAGAAAGCGCCGCGACGTCTCGTCCTCGTCCGAATCATCCTCGTCCGACGACTCGTCCTCCGAGTCTGATGGATCCCAAAAGCAGACCGTTGTACGCGTCTCCGTGAAGTCGAAGGCCGGAAAGGCAGCACAACCAAAGCCAGCAGCGCCGAGCGACTCGTCGTCCTCGTCTTCTTCATCCGACTCTGAGTCCGACTCGGATGCTGGGCCCGCGCGAGCGGTATCACCAAAAGCCGGTCAGGCTTCGGCACCTACTTCCTCAAAACCTGCACGACGACCGGCGTCACCCACACCCCCTCCTACAACTGTTCCATCCTTCTTGCCCGGTAAAGGAGCGGCAGACGAGGAGAAGCAGAATGAGCAGGTTCTGAAGGAGCGCTTCAGGAAGTTCTGGATGGCGTCAGTCGCAGATGGCTTCAAGGAGGACCTTGAGGAAATTCGCAAAGTACGTTTACCCTTCTCATGTCTCTATGCGCGTATCACTGACGTGTGTTTACAGCAAGAGCCAAATCTTACGACGTCGCGTCTGGCGATGCTCATCGACTCATTAGCCGCGGGCGGAGACGTTTTTACATCTTCACGCGTAGAGCCCGATAGCGGGATGGCAGAGATGGAGATTGTACTCGAGCATAATACATGACTACGGATACACCGCATGACCTTCCACAACGTTCAGTACAGCTACCTATTCCGCCGCCCTCAAGTGCTCCAGCATCTCTCGCCTGGCCCACTCTCCCATCCTGGTCCGCGACTCGCCAGCAATGGCACGCCAGACGAGGAGACGGCTCGAGAGCGCATCCCACTCGACTGTCTTCGTCGGCAGAGTCATGGATACTCTCCAGAGACACTCTACGCAGCTTCCCCACGCCTCGATTGTCGGTGTCGGGGGTGCGTCAAAGAGGTGTTGTGAGTGGTGAAGCTTCACGGAAGCCATCTTGTCCCGACTCTCCAACGGTGCAGAGAGCTGTCCCAAAGTGGGGATCGCAACTTCTGCTTCCAACTGTTCGAGCCAATGTAGGCCTCGCGCTAGTAGCGCAGGAGTATGAGGCGACGATTGCCCAGGCAAGAGAGCGAGTCGGAGGATGACAGGGACCAAAGCCAAGAAAACGCTCAAGGAGCACGCTACAGAACAGGTGGCAGTTTCATGAGCATTTACTTGGGATAATATGAACTCAAGGACGTACTAGGGTGATGCAAGATCGTGCGCACACAGCGGCTCGCGATAGCCCGCCACTCGCCGATCGTGGCAGTCTCGACTTTACTCGAGTACCCGACGGCAAGGACATTCTCCAGAATGCGCGCCCACGCGATGGCCTCTTCTCCGCGCATGTCCGGTAGCTGCATCTCAACCCAAGAAAGCAGCGCATGACGGAGTAGCAGAGACGTTGTCGCGCGTGCGTTGCAGGTGATGTTTGCGAGCACCTGCATAACCATGTCAACTACGACTCATGGGGAATTAAGGAGTGACTCTCACTTCCAGCACACCGCGTCGCAGGGTCTTGTCTCGCTCTTCGCTCTGAAACATGCTGGCGAGCAGGTCCCACGTGTGTCTCCTCTTCAGGATCCTCCACTCCTCGGTCTCGACGATGCCGTCGCTCAGGAACCGCACGATCCACGCGCGCTCCTTCTTCCAGTCGTCCGAGGAGCTGTACAGCATCCCGTAGAGCATGGGCACGTCCGTGGGGTCGAGCGTTGGGCGTTGTAAGAGGAAGCGCGCAGTGAGCGGGTAGATGAAGTTGGACGGGTAGAAGAGGCCGCGGAAGGCGTGCGCTAGGAGGAGCGTGGTGTAGGCGGAGAGTCGGGGTACGTCTTCGGCGGGCGCGGAGGAGCGTAAGTCTTTGAGGAGGTTCATGATGTGCATGACATGAGGCTTCTCTTGTAGATCGGCATTCTGGGACGTATCCGTGGTCAGAGAGGGTCAATCGATGGAGATGAACACGGCATACCTCAAGAGTACGATAGAGAGATGCTATCTGTGCCCACGCAATCTCACGAAGCTGCTCGTCCTTTGCAGAGAGAGCGCGGAGGAGCAGGCTGATGACGTTCGTCCGGAACAGCTGCACCCACTCGAGTGCGGATGAGGGTACAGCGTCCGTCATCATCTGCGTGAAAAGCAGCAGCACAAAGACGGGATCGTAGAGGCCCTCGCTCGCAGGCACGTCTTCGATACCTCCCGCTTCGAGCTTCCGCCACTCCGGGAAGTCGAGGCAAGTCTTGAGGACACGGCTGGGGTCGAGGCCCTGCAGTGCCTCGAGCGCGCTCTCCGACACGACGTCTGTGGTGCCCGACCATTGGCTGAAGAGCGAGGCCACAGATGTCTTTCGGGTAGCTTCGTAGAGCTGGAAGATGCTGAGAAGTTTACGGTCAGCAGCGCCGAGTGAGCCGCCGTAAGCTCTTCGCAGGGGCTCGATATGACTCGGCTGGCAGGTGTTGATCGGGTGAAGGTGGAAGAGTGTGTGTAGGAAGTTGATGATGCTGCCACGGGGAGATACTTCGATGGCCGAAGGGGTCCAAGCACAGAGCTCGTAGAATTGTGCATGCTGCACGATCGTCTGGAGGTACTTGTTCACTGTGACAGGCTGCGAGTGCGTGTTAAGCCGCGTTTACACTGGCATGGTAATCGAGCGTACCTTGATATTAGTAGATGCTGCGAGGAGTCCGGCAAAGTAGATTGCATCTGTGTTGCTCAGGCGGTCTTGAATGACGGTTGCGATGACCGGCTCGGCTAGGTGACTCTTCGGAGCTATCGGGACTCGCAAGAGTGTGACTGCAGATACACAGTATAAGCAGATGTACGCGAGGAGATAGAGTGTGCATCATTACCTAGGTTTGACAACATGGCATGGCTAGAACTCGTACTGGCACCGTTGTCCGCAAAGTGCCTGACCGCCCACCTCAGACCAACATCAACGAGGTGCTCCGCAAGTGTTCGAGCCTCCGCGGGGATCGTCTCAATCAACTTGACTGAGACGGACAAGCTGTATTGTGAGAGTTTCTCCGGGGCGACCAACCCTAGCTCCTTGCTGAGCAACTTGAGAAGGTTCCGTCGACTTGAAGGCTGTGTCTGGACGATGAAAGCAATGGAGGCGGCAGCCTTGGAGCAGACGTCCGGCGACTGACGCGCATCCTTGACAACTTTCACCAAGCGAGCGAAGTGGGTGGCGAAGGTGTCGCTTTCACCGGATGGGTGAGCGTCTCCTTCGCGCGCAGAGTCGTACAACGCGAAGACGATCTTGACGAGGTGGACCACACTGCAGCTCGTGGAGTCTGGAGATTCGAGCCACGCGATGACGGGGACCCGGGCCGACTGGTGCCTGTACACAAGCGTGGTGAGGATATCCACGGTGGCGTCCGTCCAGTTGCTCGCCGCGATGAACGACTCGACAGAGAGAGGGGGCACCGGTTCCAAGCGTAGGGCCCAGCGCTTGGCAGCGAGGGGCACCAGCGCTGCGACGTTCCACTCCGAGAAGGAGCGCGCAGGGAGATGTCCGTCATAGCTGACGGGCAGAGATCCCTCTGTTCCAGACGCAAGCAGCGATTGGAGCGTCGCTGACTGAGGGAGGAGGGCGTGCAGGTTGGAAAGCAGAGGGAGAGCCTGCGTGAGCGCGTCTTGCGAGCGGATGAAGCTGTCGGCGGTGACTTCGAGCACGCGCTCGATGATATCCAGGACACCGGCCGAACTCGAGTGCTCAGCGCGATCGGCAAGATAGTCCAGAAAGCTGAGAGCTTCTGTGACACCTGAGTACTTGAACCACAGGAGGGCAGTGCTGATCTAATATTTACAGAGCTTTCAGTACAGTTGATCTGGGTACCCTCAGAGTATTTTGAATGTACCTGCTCTTCGTCCGAGTTGTCTAGGGACCCGCGTAGAGTCAAGATCCACTGGCTGGCGAAAGTGGCAAGAACTTGCTGAACGTCGTCTCCGTCAGTCGCCGCACATATGACCAGGAACGCGCTCAGTCCTACGAGGTTAAGGTGTGAGTAGCAAGCTAGCAGGTATGTTGTCTACCGTACCTTCTCTAACAGAGTCGTTGAGTGATCGGGAGCACAACAGCTTGAATACGTCCGCCTCGAAACAGAACATGACGACACTTATGGTGCTGCTTGGAGTGGAAGCTTTCAGTCTATCGACGATCTCCGTTAAGAGATGCAGGTAGTCGCCTGAACCGACTCCCTCCGTGAAGGCGCGAGACAGTCGGTGCAAAACCATGCGAATAGCACGCTTGAGGGTGACGACGTCGGGAGACGCGGCGAACAAACGCTCAACGAGGGTCGCGCGGCATGTCTGGTCCTTCACTAGATCATGCGTGCAATGAAGGAACAGATTGTCGAACCCGAGGCTGCGGTTGATAGTCAACAGGCTATTCCAGTAATCGAGAAGGAGGACTTACGTATGTGCCGGTATGGAAGACTCGATTATGAGGCCGGCCCCTGTCCATAGGGAGACGTCGCGCGGGTTGAGATACTGGAGCAGCTCTTTGAGCGCAGGTGCGTGGAATTTCTCCGTCGCCAGTACGAGGCGGGCGAGCTCTGAGGAATGCAGTCGCGGGCCGATCAAACGAAGCCAGTCGACGAGCTCATAGGCGGAGGTCTGCCCCTCCATCTCTGAAGCAGCTATGATCCCATTGAGCTAGTTGCCCTGAAAGGTCGTAAATCGACTTACGGTCATCGAGATCTTCAATCTGGGTCAAAAATTCGTGTACGGCAGGCGTAGTGCCTTGGTCCATGGG